TTATTATACATAGAGTGTGAATCTGTGAACTCTATTATAAATGTCCAAGAGACAGATTGTAATATTTTTAAATAAATAAGTTTAAAAAAAAAATAGTATAATTCTTCCTCAAAGTTTAATAGGAATAGGCACACAAATTTTGTATATTATATTAAAAATTATAACTTTTAACATACTCTTAATCGAGTATTGAGGTCACATTCATATTTAGTCAACTAAATTCTAAACTCAACTTTTAATATTTTTATTTTTTTTTATTTATTATTTTATTAAAATTTATAACTGCAAACTTATATACAACCACTAAATTTGCCATAGGAATATATAAGATGAAAGTACTTGTGAAGAAGCTACCTATTGGTAACACTTCAAAGATAAATTAATTCAGGAGGTCCCTTAGCCATCATCTTTTCAGACCCCTCGGAGGGTTGTCAGGAGTTGTGTTAGATGAAAGGTTACAACCTGGAGTATTGGAGTGACTAAAGAGTTAGGAATTAAAAGAGGTATATCTAGTTCGGGCCAAGTCTTCCACAAGAGAAATGTTGAAGTCGTTATGGATAATTTTACACATGATAAGGAGCTTTAGGATTTTACGGAGAATTTTGGATTGTATACGGGAAGAATTTGATGCTTTCGTAGAGCCCAAAAAATGCTCAATACCTCATGTTGAAATGGGCCTGATGAAAAAAACTAAAAAAAAAACTCACCAGCATCAAGAAATCCAATGTTGTGTTGTAACTGAAACAATCCCAATCACATAACCTTATGTTTTCAAAATTCAGGTAACAATAAAATACTCTTCAGTGTTTTACCAATTCAGGCATTATCAGGACTTACTGTCTTTTCAGAAAGGCAAATCAAACATCACTTCACTCCATGACATCCACTCGCTCAAACTCGCATTGATGCAAGTGAATGAATGGGCGAAACGTTGATGGATTTTGAAGAAATTAGATTGTGTGGTTAGAATTTTTCCAATTACAAAATTTTAATCATTTTATAGACTGTTCGATCTTAATGCCAGTATATAGAGTATGTGGAATCCATTAACATTGAAAAATACACTATTGGCACACTAAAATTTCACACCCAATAATATTACTCCAGTAATGTTACACTAAAACTTGCAGTTTTATGCTGAAGTAGAGTGGTTTATCTAGGAAGAAACTATTTTCTAGATATGACTTAATCTACAATTATCCTGAGATAGTTAATTTTAAAGAGGATAATCATTATTGATAAATTATATCACCTAAAGGTTTTATTTTATTCAAACCGGTTTTTAATTTATCGAAACATAATTGTGAATAATTCATCCTCAATATTTATTAGAAATAACATATAAATTTTATATTCTATCTTTAACATTAAAACTCATTTATATTTAGTCAACTAAATTATTCATGGAAGTATAAACTATTTTTGAACTTTTAGAAATTTCACATTCTATGACACATAAATATAGTTTTATATACATACATATGTGTGTGTGTGTTTGTGTGTGTGTGTGTTTGTGTGTTTGTGTTTGTGTGTTTGTGTGTGTGTGTGTGTGTGTGTGTGTGTGTGTGTGTGTTTGTGTGTGTGTGTGTGTGTGTTTGTGTGTGTGTGTGTCCGCGTGTGTTTATATAATATATGTAATTTATTATAATGGTGACAAAAAGTCTTAATAAACCTCAAAAAGTAACAGATTTAAATCGAAGTATAGCCATAGTCGATATACTATAAATATTTAAAATATATAAATATTTAAGCAGGTAAATAATTAAAAAAGAATACTATCGATTTATCGAGTATTACATCGTGTGTTTACGTTATAATTGCTATTCTGTTCCCATGAAAATATTGTCCTTCTAGAACTTAAATGCTCAGGCAATAATTGAAGAACAATAATAAATTAAAGTGTATTACTGATAGAGAAAAAAATATAATAAGTTATTATAATTTATAAAAAATATTATTCATCGTGGTTGTTTCTAGCATCCCTTTTAAAATTAGTTCAATGTTAATGTCTAATGACAGCAAAAGGTGTGAATTATATTTTTCTACCTATTTAATGGACAGTAAATTTCATATATATATATATATATAATTATTTATTTGTTATGTATACACGTACTTATGTATATAAATATATTATTTTTGTATGAAATTGTTTATACATATTAGCTCTGGAATTCGTAAGGCATTTAAGCTTTTGTACGATGTACATTTGTACATTTTATGTTAAACATACGCCTCTTTTATAGAGTTACCTAAAGATATACATGAAGATTTTAATAGACTAAATATAAATGTGACCTTAATTGTATATATACTGGTCCTTATAATAACAGTCATATGGCTGAGTGCTGGGATCTCCTAGAGTTTTGCCTTTCCTTCCACGAGTGGACGGAAAGCTTGGCTCGGAGTTTTCCCGAATGAATGAATTTTTTTAATATTGTGTAAAAAAAATTAAGTACGTTTGTATTTAAATGGTTCCATGATTATTTTAGTTTTTTCTATTGTTTATATTCATTTAGCTATAGTTATATTATTATGGTGTTGAATTTATTTTTATTTATTGGACATGTGCAATCTTTATTTATGCGGATGTGCTCACTGAACACTATTATAAATGTTCTTAATTGAGACAGAGTGTAATATTTCTTAATAAACAAGTCGGCTAATTATAAATATTCATATAAATATTATAAATATAATTCATTTATATTTATATATTAAAGTTAGATTAACTTTATATTTGCTTGTTGAATAATTTAACAATTTGAATAATTATGCATAAAGAATATGTACAATGATTCCATCTGCTCTTGTACTTGATCATGGATTCAAAGAATTATGTTATATTCAAATTATTATAAATTCAATTTTATTATTCAGCGTTTTCACTTATTGTGAAATAAATTCATAGATGCATGTGATCAATAAAAAGGAGCGAAATAACAGTTTTATCCAAAATGTCTTCCCATATATTTCTGGCAATCGCACATAACATTTATTCGTCGAAATATTAGCAGACTATATCATAATAGTTCAAATTAAATGATAACTATAGATAAAACTTTTTTCCTCTTCATTTCACAGAACTTCTTTTTTTTTTATTCTAACTATAATACTTGTAAAAGTTAAAATGTATTTGTTTTGAGAAAAAATTTTATTTTAAATTATTCTATTTCTTAGAAAATATGATGTGCATCTGGAGAGTATGATTTTCTGCCAATCTCAGAATCCATAACCAAATAATTTACCGGTCTAGTTTTAGCATTGTGGATTGTTATGAGTATAGTATCTTTAGCACAAGTCTCATAACTCAACTCAACTTTTCCAGGTTAAATATTTCTTTATTATCATTATCGTTATTATTGTTATGTATACAATTTCTTCATTCATGAACTCTATTTCTATAGGAAAAAACAACTTGCGATGTTTTTATATTATTAACTATTCGAAACTGACGTGAAGAAGCTTAATGGTTGAAAGTTTCCTCACTTGATAGTTCATCGATAAGAGGTCAGTAATAGGATAATAAACAAAACTAATGTTGGTTTAATGTGTGTAAATATGCATAAAAAATGTTAGTGTTAGCGCAATATAAAAGTTACAAATGTTAAAATCGTATTTTTTATTATTAAGCTCTTCTACCATAACCCCGTGCAATACTTACCTTAAATATTTGTAGCGAATGATAATACAATTTTAAAATTACAACTTGTGAAAATAATTTGACTCTATCTCTCCTGATGTTTTCTCTCTTTAAAAGTTTAAAGATTTTGGCAGTTTCAGAGTTCCATTCATATTCTCCGTTCGGTTTTGATTTAATGGAAAGGCCTTTGTAAGTACAGTTTTAATTAATAAAGCTATCCCCTCTTGAAATGAGAAACGATCGATAGAAGTATTCAATTTATAATTATTTACTTATTTTGATAGGCATAGACTATTGAAAGATTTTGAGCATCAAATTTTTAGATTCTGGTTCGATCCAAGAATTCAAGCTTTAGATAAAGAATTATAATTCTATTGAAAATTTAAAGTTTAATTTTAAGCAAGACTAGTAAGAAAATGTATGCAATTTAATGTAATTTATATTTAATATGATTTATAAAACATAATCTGGTGTTAAAAAGACACACAATCGGTTTGGAAAAAACTTATAATTAATTTGAAATATTGACAGAAAACAATGAAAAAAATTTCAATATCAGTTATGTTGGTTCATCTCGCATTACCTAAGCGTGAAATCTTCATTACCCCTTTTGCATTATTAGTGAACCCTGCCCACGTTCTTGTTCACCATAAAACGGGTAGTGTGACCGAGATTTCACTATGAATAAAGTGATTTCGTGTTTTGTTAGTTCATTGAGTAGGTACTATACTCATATCTTTAACAATTTTTAGTGGATTTTAATAGTATTTAAAATTTTGTTTACTTAAAAGTATTTTACTGAATCCCTCAGTTATTATCCAAGTCCAATCGAAATTCATTAAAGAGTTATAGATAAATTATAAAACGTTGGCAACAAATCACATGAGATAGATGTTTTATTAATTTAGTTGAAAGCTCTAAAGGATAAGGTCAACCCAAGCCTGAGGTGAGCCCCATCACCTTTTATATTACAGATGAAGAACGAAATACTTAGAAACAGCAAAAATCTAAAAAATAAACTTTACAATGCTTTTAAGCAGTAAAAGGAGTATTATTAAGACAATCCAAGGATTAAATACAAAAATAAGTAGAAAGGGGCTATGAAAAAAAAAAAAAAAGGTAAGTCGCTTGTTTAAATTAAATCGCGAAACATGAGGAAGAAGATATCTCTTAGTTCTGGTTCTCTTATTTTTTATGTATGGTGGATGGTTTTTCCAATTATAGTGTGAAATAGAGCAAATAATTTATACAAAAAAATACAGGTGTATACAACATTTTACGAGAGTAATTGAAGATTTTTTTTTTTTTTCGTAAAATGTGATTGTTAGATATAAATTCTAGAAGATATGAGAACAAGTTACCTTTGATCGTGAATCCTCGTCCTCCGCACTACCGGTGGCGGGGTCCTCCTGCAGTCGCAATGCATGACACAAAGGACGACCGACGTCACAACGGTTATGACGAAGGGTATGGCAAAGTAGTTGATAATTATCTCCACTTGTCTGTCCCTATCGTAGTGCCGCATCACAATCGTCCTGTTCTGGCGGCTGTAGTGGCACGGGAACACGGCTGACTCCTTCCCGTACTCCGCGGTGAAGTTGGAGCAGTTGACGTCCGGCGGGTAACCGCACCCCTTGATGTTGACTAAGAGTGTGGCTTCACCCTCCAGCTCTGTGTCGTTGCCGTAGGGCGTGTAGTTGACGTATATGTGTGTGCAGCGGTACATGTCGGAAGTACAGCCCTCGCGGCAAGAGGACCAGGTACAGTTGAAGATGCCGGAGTGTTCCTCCTTCCTGAGGGTGGTACAGAGGACGGGCTGTGGCACGAAATCGGCGACGAGGGTGCTGATGGCTGGGTCCACGTAGAGCGGGACGAGGAAGAGAATACAGGAGCCGGCGCAGACCGCCGCCAGGACGAAGAAGGATGTGGCGTAAAAAGACGCCCGCTGGCGGCAGGTCCTGGGGACGGCCCGGGGCCGCTGCTTGGAGAGCTCGATCAGCTTCCGCTTTCGCAGCTCCGCCGAGGGGTCGATTAGCAGCTCCGAGCTACCTCCGACCATGACCGGCCCCCCACTGCCGCCGCCGCTCGGCCACGCCCACCCCCCACCCCGCCTCCCGTCCTACCCCCACTCCTCTCAGCGCCAATTATACACTCAATGAAATAGCCGCCAAGTCCTGTCCATTCTCCTTTCCATATTTCATCTTTATTTGATTGGTCCGCCAGTCCTATTGCAACACCTTACCCGCCCGCCTGCCTTCCTCAAAAGTTCTTATAGTATTATTTTACCTTAAGGTCAGAGGGAAACGATATCGTTCGTTTGGTTGAAGGAAGACACACATTATTTCAGGAAAGAAAGAGCCCATTCATAAGTTGTCGTCTGCGCTGACATGTTTTCATTAAATAAATTCTTTTGTCTTATTTATTAATTTATAGCACTTTCTAAAATTCATTTTCCTTCCTTGAGTTTGATGGTTATTGAAGTACACCTCTATTCTTCCTCTATATATAATTCAATATTTTTATCATCATATAGATAGCTAACTATTTACCTTTTTTCATGCATTTGAACCACTCAAGTTTAATGTTGTTGATATCGATGTCTTAGATATATTTTTTTTTAATTTGAATTTGAAATATATCAAATATTTTAAAATTCTACTTATAGTACTGTATATACCATAGCTGAGCATTCTTTTTAACATTATTGTTCGCATTTAGAAAGCAATAAATAAGACATAAGACTGCATTTAGGTTTTTTTTTTTTTTTCATAGCCCCTTTTTATTTATTTTTGTCTTTAATCCTTGAATTGTCTTAATAATAGTCCTTTTACTGCTTAAAAGTATTGTAAGGTTTGTTTTTTATTTTTGTCTTTTCTAAGTATTTCGTTCTTCATCTGTAATATAAAGGTGATGGGGCTCACCTCAGGCTTGAGTTGACTTTATCCTCTAGAGTTTACAAATAAATTAATAAAACATCTATCTCATGTGATTTGTTGCCAACGTTTTGGAATTTTAGCAGGTAATAAATTGTTAAAAAGAATGTTTGCTAATTGTTGGGATTTTTCGAAAAATGATTTTTTTCGTTTTGCGAAAAATTCTTTTATTGTTAATAAGTTTAGTGTTTCGGTTATGCAGTGGTAATAAATTTATTTTGGAATACTGCTTTTCTTTCCTCGAGTTCGGAGTTCCTTTAGCTGATCGTTTATAAATATATCAATGTTATTTCACTTTACTTATCATTAAGTCTATTTTATTTTTATTTATGCTATATACTTTAGATTATTATTTATTATAAATTAGCTTCTTTTTTCTTTGCTTTACTTATATTTTCTGTAGGTACATATGATGTAAATAAACTATTTCAACATTATATCCATTAATCATATTACGGCAAAATGTTAGTCAAATTAAACAATAAAAAAAAAGTTTTTCATCTCAAAATAAATGAATACATCAACAAAATAAAGTTGAATGTTTACTTGAAAATATTGTTAAAACGCTTTGGTATCTATTAATTACTGTTATCAATGATTTTATTTCTAATTAATCACTTATTTTCTAGGCATTTCTTAAAAAAAAAAAAAAAAAATTAAAAAATACATATTATTTATTTATGTTAGACTACTTAACCAGAAGAGAAGAAATTATTTAAATTGGGGAGAAATTATTACCTAATTAATTAATTTCAGATTATTGATATATTCACTACCAAACATTTTACTGTATTGATTTGAATCCTGTAATCGAGAAAAGTTCAGAGCCCCTCTACAATATACAATTTCTCCTCTACTGAATTATTACCATCTAATAAAGAACCTGATTAAAGTTATTACCAAGCCACAAATAAAATCGTCAAACGTCTCCATACTGACATATAAGTTGTTTCTTTGAGGCAAAATTAATCAATAAATTAATATAATGCTTCCAATGTAGATAAAAAGATCTCTAAACAATACTAATTGGAAATTACATAAGTAAGCGTACATAGGTTTTTATACTAGTTGAATAGAAGCATGGTGGTTCTCCATACAGCTTTTGAGAGCAGTAATTTCTGAAATAACTCATTTAAATAAAGATAAAAATTGAAGAACTCCATGTCTATGTTAAATTCATAACATTTTTCCATTGCCTCTCAGCGACAATATCTGATCTACTGTTGATCTTCCGGGTCTAAAGCCTCTCTAATATTCTCCAATGATTTTTTCGGTGAAATCTGTCAGTCTTTTAAGTAAAAGTACTGCAAATATTTCATAGGTTGTACTTAATAGAGCGATGCCTCTATAATTTTCACACACTAGCTTGTCTCCTTGCTTGTGTATTGGACATATTGCTGCTCTTGTCCTATCATCAGGCATTTTTTCTTCCGTCCATGTCTTTCAAATCAGATCATAAATTTTCTCCCACAGATCACTGTCATCATATTTTAACATCTCTGGATTAATCTCGTCGAGACCTAGCGACATATGATTCTTCATTGACTTAATGATATCAATTATTTCTTCCTTCTACGGAGCTTCTACTTATTCTGCTCCTTCCTGTGTTTCGCCCAGAAGTTTATTTAGGTCGGTACTGCAAAAAAAAAAAAAAACATCAGTAGCTGTAAAATTTTATAAAATACATATTATCATTTCATAAAGAAAGTATTAAGGTCATTCCACTAATTGATAAGAATTTTATAAATTGTGGGTACTAGCGGCACTTTCAGATTAGTGTTAAATTATTTTTATCTTAAGAATGTACTCTGTTTCATGGTTTAAACGAACGTTAAAATATTGTAAACGTATCACGTATCTAGTTGGAAATTTTGGCGAATAATACAAAAATTACTTCTTTTTTTTTAATGAGAATAGGAGCTATTAAATGTTATGAGGAAGGATTAATCTTGATAAAACTTCAAATTTCTTTTTCCCTCGCATCACCAAACGTGATGATTTAATGTAATCAGGGGAAGGATCTAGTAGACATTTAATGCACGTGCACATAGACAGAATATGTCCCAGCGTTTAACGATCCCTACTGTTGCAACGCTGTGGAAGATGTGACAATTATAGTAAAATAGAATGTAACACAATTATATAGCCAGTTAGTCGCAGATATTGATGTCATAACTCCAGGATATTTTGCGTTATGTATGCAATGCGATAAGACATTGCAGAATTTTATTAGATCGTGTAATTAGGAAATATCTGAAAATTTGAAGGAAAATGGTAAAATTTAAACCTCATTTATTCAGCTTATAAGTTTGAATTGTAAAACAATATTAAACATGAGCTGTCGAATTCGTGATATATAAGTAAGATATTTTATTAAAAAATATGATTGCATAATTATCCTAAATATATTCTGATCACATCCCAGCATCTAAAACAGCAGTTTATAAAAAATTATTCGATAAAGTTCAAATGATTTCGTTATTTTTTTCCACAATATAAAATCGAGATACTAATCAAATATGAGATAGCTATATCATATAAATTAAGAGGTGAACACCATACAACCTGATCTGGATAATATATAAAACCGTGGTCGAGCCACATGTGGGCCTCGAATTGTGGTTTAAAACCGCACCGCAGCTGTACCAAAGGTGGTCTTCTGCAAAGTCTAGGCATGAGGTTTTCAATTCTCACATGGAATATTATTCAGAAAGATATGTCTTTTAATAAAAGAAAATATATTTATTCAAACAGACCAATATATATCACTACAAAAGAATCATATATATGACTACAATAAGACCTATTTGGACTTACAGAGTTGAGCATTGGGCCTCCATTAAATCGAATTCCTCTTGTATCCAATCCTTACAGTCCAAAACCTTTCGTGAAATTCTCAATGATCCTTACTTTATCATAAATAAAATATTTCATAAAGACCTTAGTGCTTCACATATTTCCGATTCGGCCCACTCCAGATACCTATAGTTTCATAATAAACTTCAGAAACATCCTAATCATCTTGTTTCTAACCTTGACTCCTGTTTGATACCTGATACTCGTGGGGTCTGATAAGATGGCTTCGTGATCTCCCGATTAGAAATTTCGTGAGTGTGCTGTAATGAGTAAGTTTTCATGCTATAAGTCTTTATACTGCTATTGTATAACTGATATAAACTTCATGAATATTGAAACAAAAATTTATGAAGTTTTTTAAAAAAATTATTTATTAATTAATATAACATTCTGTCACGTAGACAATGGTATTATTGAGGTGAGACCACATTCATACCATTTATACAGAAACTATAAAATAAGCAGAAGCAAAAAAACTATCAAATAATATTTTAAAAGTATATACAATGAATAAAAATCAAATAACTTGAAGATAATTAAATTTAAAAAAAACACAGACCATTAAAAAAACCACTGTATTAATAGAAGGAAAGAATAGTTGGGGTGATCAGTAAAAAAAAATTGTAAAAATAAATAAGTATATTTATTTTTATTTTTGCCGACGTTTCGGTCCAAAGTTCAGGCCTTAATCATGGCTAAGAAAAGTTTCCATTGGCTAAAAAATATCTATATTACAGGGTCTCAAATTTTTCGTATGAGACTAAAATCTCTGGGAAAAACCGTTTTCGGAAATTCAGTAATTGAGGGATTTGATATCCACAAGTTTTGTTAATCAGCGAATACTAAAATGCGAAACAGTTCGAACGAACGAACGAGCCCTTTCTGAAAAATTGGCATATCTAAAAAATTCGGTTTGCGCGTGCGTAAGCGGAAGTGCTGAATGGAATTTGATAAAATTGATATGGAACCAACTAGACACCAATCCACATAATTCATGAAAATCGCAAGAACGGTACTAGGTGGTATGTCCATCACTTCGTTTTGGCTGCAGACAGACCGACAGACAGGCAGAGACCGAACCAAATTTGACCTTTGATGTCTGAAACGTAATTTTTTTCGGTTGGCGCTACAGACCATGAAGATCATTGTCCGCGAGATGGGATATGGTGGGGCTCTAGACCACATCCTGATTCCAGATTTTAAGTACACGAGGGTAGGGTCATCAGTCCGGTTGGTGTGAGTTGCCTCCAGTAGGCTGACGGGACTCATA